GGCAACTATTACAACACTACGGAAGGCAGTGTTTCCAACTGCAGGTAGAAACATCTGCACCAGCTTGACTGCCTCTTTTCAGCAAGGGGAGTAAGGTTTGCCAGCTCTCTGAGAGACCCCCAAACAAAGGGTTCCCATCCTGCTCAAGCTGCAGCAATGTCTGTCCTTGAATGAGACAAACTGCACCACAACAGTTTAGCTTCAGTTTATAAGAACCTCAACAGCTACCTCAAATATAGAAATTTAAGTTAATGGAGGTGAGGTTTGTGCTCCTCCATCCTGTGGCCAGTCATTTATTTAGACTATAAGCTCCAAGTGCTATGGTATTGCATCTGCCTGGTGCAAAAGGGTGCAGTGCTAAAATGGGACTTTGCTGAGCAGAGTTACTCCTTCTGCAAATAGGTCATGACCAGCCATTTACACTATGAAACAATTCAGTGTTCTGGGACAAAACTCTTTTTACTGTGCCATTCAGAAACTGATATAACAAGGAGACAGTCTGATGAGTGACAAAAAAGCAAACAAGATGATAAGCAGTAACTGCAGACATTTCCAGGGAAGGACAGTCAGGACATTTCCAGGAAGAAGGCAGTCACAGCCTGAGCCTTAGCAGAGACACCATTGGGACTTCTGAATAGTACTGATTGCTGATGCTCCAGCTGCAGGAGGGGCAGCACAATACAAATAAGATGTAACAGGAAATAGAGGATCTCTCATGTTGGAGAAATCTTAGAAAGGCCAGAATGATAACCCTGCAAAGCAAAGGCTCTTCTTCACTGCTATATATAGATGGTAAATAACAGCTGCAGAAAAAGGGCCACTTTAAGCTTAAAGACCATTGATTGCACAAGAAAAATTGGATGTAAAAATAATGAGGCTAAAATTCAAATGAAGTGTGGGTTGTCTCCTTTTAGAATTGAGATTCTGGAAAAGCCCCAGACAAGCATAAAAAGCAAAGAAAAAATTAAAACCCTTCCAAGAATTCAGAATTCCAAACACTTACTTTAGAATTTGTGATGCAACAATTCAAAAGACCTGGTCTCATTTGTTATGATGCTAAGCCACATATAGCCAATCTGTAGCAGATCTACAGATCTAGAGCAGATCTGTACATCTAAGCTGTTACACATTTTCTCTGGACTTTTATATCAATTTGTGTACTACCAACAGAGCTGATTTTAAGCAAAAATGGTTAATCCTTTCTTTAATACTTGTCCTTTCACATCAGCCTTCTCAAAGCTGAAAGTAGCACAAAATAAATTCTATAATATCTACTTGAGGAGAAGAGCAAGGGATAAATTACTTGCCTGGGAGGAGATGATGTTATTAATCAAAATGACTTCAGGGTATAGTGTTCTTCAGGGTATAGTGTTTTGAAGTTGTGTTGAGTATTAAATAACAGGTGAAGAGTTTTTTCCTTTTGAAATCCTAAATTGAAGCCTACTCAATAAAATGAAGCAAAATTATCCAAGTTGTTACAGAAAAAAATCTTCATGAAGAGAGAGTGTAAATTAAAGCCTTCACATCGAAATCAGGATGTAAAGATTGATTTACATTTCTTTTCATAACAAACAATGACACAGTATGGTCTCTTACAAAATTTGTCTGAGATAACTTGAATGTCTGGGGTTGAACTGGGTTTGAACTGACAGCTCTGCTGTCCCCTCAAAGTCACAGCTATGAGCACTTCCTGATTAAATTAGGGTTTTACCCAGCATTCTCAGATCCTCCTTTGCAGATGAATTTGTTTTACAAGAAACAATTTCATCCACTGGTGAGCCATACTGCCAAGGAATACAAACTCATGGCACTTACTGAGGGCATGACAAGAGACTTATCCTGCAGAGCTCCAGAGGGAGGAAAACTTCTACTGAAACAAAAATTGCATGTATGACCACTGTCCATTTTCTGCTCCTCAGGGTCCTTCTGCAGAAGGTTTTTAATTGTGCTTCACAGCACAATCTTTGGAATACAGAATACACTTAATAGCTTGGTTTGAATTTGTTAAGGGTTAGCAGTGCATAGAAGCAGGACAAGAGCCAACAGACATGAAAGGAAATCAGGGATGTTCAACTGGATATGAGGAGAAACATTTTCATGAAGAGAACAGTCCAGCAAGACAACAACTGACCCAGAGAAGCTGGAAAGTCTCTGCTCTGGAGAAAACTCAGTGTTTTTCAAGACCAGAGTGGATAAAGCCTTGAACAACCTGGTCTGACTTCACAGCTGGCCCTGCTTTGAGCAGAGGACAGAACCACAAGCCATTCAAGATCCCTTCTGACTTGAATTCTCCAACAACTCCCTAGAAAGGAAGCTCTCTGTGCATCTATCACTAATCCATGGGAAACACCAGCATTGTAGCATCCTCTCCCCTGTAGGTAGTTAGAGAAAGTGAATGCTTTCCTAAAGTTGAAATCCACTGCCATAAGAATCATGGGCCCACAGTGGCTTTCTGCTTTTTTCACCACTGTTCATCAAGAGTACACTACAGAGTGTGCATGTTCAGCAAAAAACTTGAGGGCAGGGGGGATGGGAAGGGAGGATGAGCAAGATCAATTTTTACATCTTTATGCTTTCCTGTGGCTGATAAAATATTGCTCTTCTCAGAAGATACACCAGTAAATTTTCAGTTTAGATCTGTATATCAGGAAATAAGGCTCCCATGACATCCTTTGGAGATTATTCCAGGGCTTAAGAGATTTCACACTCTAATGGTTCCCAAAAATACTCTGACTACATGTTTCCTTTGTCAGCCACATCCTAATATATTATTAGATAAGTCCTCTGCCTCCAGGCTATTTACAATCCTCAGAGAACTGAGGACTGTTTTGCCACATAGCCAGTTAGAAAGATCAAGTTCTTCTAATCTTTTCTCACATCCACTCTGCCTCCAAAAAGTGTTTGTATTTCTTTCCAAAATATCAGGGTGGGTTTCCCTGGTGGTGGATGAGGTCCCAGTATTGCCTGCAGAATAGCAGGTGTGCTCTCATCTGAGTCAGGATGCAAATGAGCCCATCCAAGTTCTTTGATTCTCTTGCACACAAAACCCCCAAAATGCCAGTTTTCTTTTCAGGACTACAACAGGAAGAACTTCAGGAGATCTTGTCTGTGCAGTCTTCATCAGCCTGACTTTCTAACATCAGTGGAAGTAGTTTCAGTCACTTGTAGGGTCTTGGATCAAGTCCCAAATCTCCAAGAATAAAAGCATGGATAAAATGAGGCATTAACTTCAAATGCAGCTGCCTGGAATTCCTGCCTTGAAGTGGGAACAGAACAACGTTGAGGGTAGGCAGAAGGGTTTTTTTTAATTAAAAATGGGATGAAGAGCATGTTTGAATTTTCTAATTGAAAAACAGTGCTTCAGAAAATATTCTGTGAAACTGTTTTGAATTAACTTATTTATTCAGTCAAGGGAACATTCCACTCACATTCACCACAAGAATGGTGTCTCTACACAATATACAACTTCTCAGGCTGCCTTCCTTCTAAGTTAAAGAAAACCTAAACAGAAAAACATGAGGACAGTCAGCCCACTCAGGTATTTCACAAGTATAAAACACCAGAAAGTCTCAGAGTGTGTAACACCTTTATTCCCACTGGGAGAAAGTCAGATCCTGACTTCACTAAGCCACAGCTTTGCACAGAGGAGCTCCTCAAATGCTACCAGAGCAAGAGGATTTATACACTGTTCATAATGCACCTAAACACTTAACCAAATCCCACGTTAAAGCACACAGCTAGAGGAAAGCCTGTTGCATGTGTTATGTGTGCATTATGTTCCTTGGCTGCCATCCAGCCCACAGTTTTCAGAAAGTTACACACTCAGAATTCACCCCTACATCCTTCTCCTTCACAGAAGGTGCTACAACCACTCTATTCTATCATGATAACCTGACACTGGCCTCAGCAGGTCTGGTATGTCACTTGTACACTTTTTCTGGATCGGGTCATTAGTTTTTTGCTGCTTGACTAATTCTTCTAAAATCAAAACTATGCAAGGCACACATTAAAGAAAAGCCATCCCTGTCTCCCCAGATGTTTCACTCATGCCACAGCCCAGCACAGTTATTACAGTATGACCAAGAAGAAGAAAAAGGCTCCTTTTCTCTGCTCTTATCTTCAAAATGTTCCAATCAGTAGAGCTGAACCAAAAGAAAACATTTCAAAAAGGTAAAAAGTTAACTGAAAAGGACATCTTGCATTTTTAAATAACAAGCCAAACAAATGTTGCCCTGCTTGCTTTCTAAATCTTAGAGAAGAGCAGCTCCATAGCCCAGGCTGCCTATTTCTTGAAAAACAATGACAAGCAGAACTAGCTGCAGGCAATGAAGTATATTAGCATTTGAATTCATGTTTGTATTTCCTCTGAAGGAAAAACTCTCTTAAAAGCAACCTAAGAACTTCCTGAAATGTATTATGGCAACATTTATTTGAGATTTGAAGATTCTTGATTCTTTATAGTTCCTTAAAAACAAACGGGGAAATGTTAAAAAAACACCCCACTGATTGCTGCCAATTTCAAAACAGGATGTTTTTGTTTTTGAGGACTGTAATTAGGAACAGTGACCTTGAAAATGTCAACAAACCATCCATTACCTCTTCTCTTCTAATTACTGTTGCAAATATTGTTTTCCCTTTATAAACTTGTCTTTGTGAGTAGTTTTACTCAGGCAAAGACCAGAACTTCCATAGGACTAAATGTGCTAGCGCCCAATGTCACCAGATACTTCAAGGGAAAAGGAAGTGAGGAGAAGAAAGAAAGTGTTTGCTATACAGCTAGGGATTTAAAATCATTGTGGCTGTTATCAGCACACAGAGAAAGCAAGAGAGAAAAGGCACCCCTAAAAGAAATGCATTACAAGTACTGCTGAAGAAAAATCCACCATCAGGAGAAGAGCTTGGAAAATGCTTGGTCTCCTCAGACAGCAAGAAGGGAGATCTGGAGCTTTCCCAACACCTAACCCTGCAGTCAGAAACCTGACACACAGGCCCTTCCTTACCTTCTGATGTCCAAATTCATTCAGCACTGTGCCCAGCTTCTTAGTGTTGCTGTGGAGTTTGTGAGCTGCGATGGCGGGGTTGGGATCCCTCCAGTCGATGGAGAGCCGATGGTGCCAGAGGTGCCGGCCCTGCTGGATGTGAGCTGACTTGATGCTGGGGTCAAAGCGATGCACCTCACACCCACTGTTGGCCATGCTTAGCTCAAACTGGTTGTCATCGTTGCCTAACCTATGTTAAAAAATATATATTAAAGAAAAGTAACTATTAATGCAGCAAAAAGAACTATTAGTGAGTAGGATGTTCTGAGGATGAATTAACTTGAATAAAATTCAAGCTCAATGCAACATTAGAACTTTCTAGGCAAGAACTAAACCACTTTTAGCCAGGCTGATAACTTTCCCAAAGAGCTTTTCCTTAATTCAGAAGTTGGAAAAATTTGCACGAAAGTAAATTAAACATTGGAATCTTTGTGCTGTCATTACTTACATTAATATTTTATGTTTATATATATATTTCTCTATTTTAATTTGCTTTTTCTTGTAAAGTTTACAATACTTTCCTTAGTCCCTGCTGCACCAACTTCCAATAACCAAGCCATAAGCAGAAGAGAAAATACATTTACTTTGTAAAAATCTGGCATATTTCACACCACATCTGTCACCTGTTACAAATGTGACCCACAGTGACCACCAGTATGGACAAGACACAAGAACCAAATGCCTCTCTTTCTCTGTGGACAGGAAGACACCGATTTAAAAGAGCATATTTAAAAATAAGCCCTTTACAACAGCAGCAGAGTTGTGACATAAACCTGAGAGAAAGATTGCTGCTAATTTGGTGAAGACCCCGAAGAAGAAGAAAAATTAATAGCCCCCTTGAACAGCAGTATTGTCTCAGTCCCTGCCTCTGTGAGAAGACGTGTTTTAAAAGGCTGTGCCATATTCCCACCTCCTACAGCCCAGTGGCTCACACAGGGTGCGCTCAAATGAAAAAAATCTGGTATTTACCATTGCCGTCATACATCTGAACCACAGGCCTTTCCCACTCTGTAAAACAGGATGTTCTCTTCATTCCTACTCCTCCTTCCAAATGTGATTCAAATCATGCACTAAACACTAAACTTAAACAAAATTAAGCTGTTTGATATACACACATGTAGCACTGAGAAGAGAATTAGTATTTTTTCAAATCAGTTGTACTGCAAATTGTACAACTGAGATCATTCAGTCTGTACTAATAGCAGAGGATTTATCTGTTGTGCACAGACCATGACAGGGCAGCACTCCTAGATGCACTAGCAGAGCACCTGCTACACTACACCACAGTTATCCTAAGCAAAGATGTCTAAAATAATTTTGGCTATCTGTATCAATATGTGAAACGTGGCACATGCTAAATCACACAACACACTATGGTACAACGTTAGGCCAGCACTAAATGATCTACACAGATGACATACAGGTAAGATAAAATGAATTCAACTCATGAAACAATGTGTGGAAGAGCATTTGCTTTGGAAGTTACCAACACAGTATGACACTTGCTGTAACACTGGCCAAGCACACTTTAACAATACCCTAGGACTCTGTCTTCTCCTCAACCATCTTCCCTTTGGGAAAACAGGAAGAGACAGGGTGTGCAAAAATAGCCCAGCATGCTTTTAAGAACAACTCTAATTCACAGGATTCCAACCCATACAGCTGTGTGGGAGGAAAAGAGCGGAGTTTTCTTTTAATATATTCAACACGCATTAGGAAAAAAGTTCAGAAGTTAACCAAGTGAATCGACATGTTTGTTTGCATGTGGCTTTCTACAGAAGGGACAGCGAGGGACAATGAGCAGTGTAATCCCTCAGGAATGAGACATGGCTAAAAATGGACAGCATGGGAATTGTTGGGGACAGTCACAGCACTAGTGATGAGCCCACCAGCGACTGATGGCCATGTGTGTCCGTGACACACTTCCAGCCATACCAGCTGGCACAAGCCAGAGGGCCAGATGCTTTTGGTACAGACAAACCTCAGGCTGCCTCCCAACAGATTGCTGCTGATGTGGACTGCAAAGGGAGCTTCACAGCGGTGGGGAAAAAGGAAAAAAATACAGATGACGGTAAAGACGGGCATGATGTGTCTTCTGGCACTCCAGTTAACAGCTCAAATTTATGCCTGAAGAGAGATCCAGAAAACAAAAAATATAGGAGAGAAAATCAGGTCTTCTCCAAAGGAACTGCTTCCCACGTGATCATGCAAAGAGATATTGCAGCATGAGAAAAAAGAAAATTAGGTCTCCTAACAAAGATGTAGTTACTTAAAGAAAGATGTGTTACTTAAAAAGGGATCATGATTTTAGCAGGACGGTGAGAAGGTCATAGAAGACAAGCGAGGCCTCTCCTCGCCATCGGGCGAGAGCAGCTGCTGCCTGCACCAGCGGCCAAAAAAGAGCTGCGGAAGGAAGTGCCCTATTTTCCCGGGAGGAGAGGGAGCTCTGTGTCAGAACCCTGCGGAGGGGCAGAGGGGCCCTTCCCAGCAGCAGCGTGCCCGGCTCTCCCGGGGGCGCAGGAAAGCTCCGCTCCCCGCAGGCAGGGCAGCCACACTGACCCGGACACAGCGGGCAGCGCTGTCCCTTGGCTGCTCCCCGCTCCCAGGGCTCGCACAGGGGCACGGGCATAGAGCCTTGCACCCACAATGGGCACTGGGCTGCAGAAGCGTCGCACCGGCCCCTGCATCACCCGGGGCACAGCGAGCGCCGAGAGGCACAAAAGCTGCTTTGTCCGCTCTGCGCTACACCTGTAGCTGATCCAGCCTGAAAACTGCAGGTACTCCAGCTCCCACAGCGATCGCAGGACACAGCTGTAAACACATACAAGTTAAGGTCCAGCTTTCCCTTTCTCTGGTCCCCCTCCTCCCCTCCTCTTTCAAAGAAAGGTAACTGAGCTCACCAGTTCAAGAAAAAGCGACGGACCCCCTGCCTGAATCCTAAAGCTCCTACATACACTTTAGGATGCACCTGAAATGGCATTTATGCTGTATTACAGGAAGACTCTTTAAACCTCTGCTGGTAAGTTTCTGAAATCCCATTCATTTATGTTACCCCAGCTTGAGTGACTGCCTGTGGTGTTTGTAACTGACTTAGTTTAATCTAAGCAGATTTAGCACTAATAACTAGAGCTCACTAATGCATATTGCGATTATGTATCACACTGGGAAATCCTGTCCCCCAAGCAAAAACATTGCTGCCTCCCCGTAGTGGAAGCAACTAATACTAATCTAAAAAATCCCCAGATGTTCCAGACACTGCTCGCTCCCATTCACAAGGAACCTCTTCTATGGCATTCAAGGAGGCAAAGCTTAACCAGCATGTTTTATTCCAATTTTAATGATATATGGATTTAATTCAGGATTCCTGGTAACACTCCCACTGAACTTTCACATTTGTCCCCCATCCATTTTCTCAGCAGTGAATGCTCTTCATTAGAAGCAGCTGCTCCCCATTTGCTCCTTATGAAACATAAGAGATAACAAAAATGTTTAAAGTGGATTTTGCCTTAGAACAAAATTACTTTTCTGTCTGTCATAAACTAAAGGAAGTGAGTCTGAGGGGAAAAATTATGCAGTAACAAGCTCCAAAGTTTGCAGAAGTAAACTGGTGGATTTTTGACTGCTTCTCCATAACCTCAAGTATTTCCCTTTAATTTTTCAGGTGTTTCACGTGATGCATCCTGGTTGGTTACTTACTGCATATGTGTATTTGACGATTCATGGGAGAGGCAACATCAGTTTTGGTCTTTGCTAAACCCTACTGTTCCATCACTACAGAAAATCTGGCACTTGTGCTCCCTGGACCATACACAGAACAGTACCACATATAAAGCACTAGTATGTGCACACTAGCTGAGTTTTGGCTAGTTTTGCTTTTGTTTTTTTCAAAACCATTAGCAAAATATCTCAGTGCTGGTCACCTTTGTGCCTAATCTGCATTTCCTAGCACAGATTAGATCAACTCTGCGTTGTACCTACAGGACAATTTAACAAAAATACCATTCTCAGTCCACATTTGATCCTTAACAACAGGACAAAATGGACATCAACACAGGAGCTCAGGTCTAATATTAATGATCATGCAGCTTGAAGGGCAAGGTCTTGGTTAACTCCACTGAACTTTGAGTACTTTGCCAAGACATCTAAAAATCAGCAGCCACCTTATTCCAGACTTCCACTATAACCAAAGGAAAGCTGTACCTACCTCCAGAATGCTATTCAGCTTTGCTGATTTTCCACCTGAATGTGCTTGCCTCTCCCTACTGACTACTAGAAGGGCCCTGAGGCAATAACTCAGTACTACAGTCAGAAAGTGAAGTCTGGAACTGAGATGCACAGCATCTCCCCTAAGTTTCATAGGAACATGAAAAGCTGAGAAGGAAAAGAATCATGTAAACCTCTATCTTGCATTAACGCCAGGTAAGTATAATTTGAAATATATCGCAAAGAACACTCAGAAAATAAGAAGCAACAGCAGTCAAGAGCAATCTTCTCTCTGTATATGTGATTTGTCTCTAAAGGGCATGTTCTTATTCTGCCACAGAGCAGTGCTGCTGAACAAAACCTGAGAGCACCTCCCTCTCAGAGGATCTGGGTCTTTACAGCTCAAATAAACTCAATCAAAGTATGAACTCACCCAAATTAGCCAAAACCACTCCCTTTGACTAGAGGGCACCCTGCCTCTCCTCCATGCTCGCTGCAGGCATTGCCTGCCATGAGAAATGCCACCCCAGGATGGTTCCTTGCTATCCACCCTTTGTAAATCCACAGCAGCAAAATCACAGGAATGAACTCCACTGGTTCAAGGGAGATGAAGCCTTTCAATACACCTCTAACCTAAAGCTGCCTCTCAGGACAGCAAGGACAGTTTTATCAGGCAGCTCTACGTGGTGATCTGTGTGAAATGAGCCCCAGATCCCAGTGACTGTTCTCCTAATGCATCTGTGTGCTGATGGCCTGATGCACTCTAAGGACTGACCTCTCATCCTCTGGGACAACAGAATGTTTTACTAGCAGGGAAACAGGCATGTGTGGATTTGCTACCTGTAAAAGCACTTCTCCTGGGAAGAGTGAAAACTTCACTCTCAAGTGCTGTAAATATCATAAATGCTGCAAACATTTCAAAGTAAAGCCACAGCTGCCTTTGTCACTATCACTTTGGCACGTGTCATCCCTGAGGTGTCGATCAAACACTCTCTCACATGGAAATGTAGTGATTTGTCCCAGAGCTGGCTAATGAAGCTTTGCAAGCAATGCTGCTGAAATCCCTGGCAGTTATGCAAGTCACCTCTGCTCAAGGCAGATGCTGTAGGCTTCTCAGCTTACCTCTTTGATTTCCATCTTCCTCCACATGAACTACCACTCACAACTCACCAGCAAGCAATTTGTTTTCATACCGATATTAGGCAAAAGAAAATAAAGACCCTCCTGGAGAAAGGATTTTTCCCTAAAAAGGAAGTTTACAGAAGCACATCAACACATGATAAACGCACCTGAACAAAGTTCGTATTTTAGAAGACAACCTTGCTGCAGCCTGTGTTGTATTTATAAGGCTTTTTGAAGCTACATGCCATGAAACAATTTCCTTTCTTTTAAAGAGAGTACTTACCCAAGTGAATAGAGACGGCATTTCTTGCTTCTGATTCGATGGATGAGGCTAAACCTCTCATCAAGACAGACTGACCAGGGCTTTTTTGTGGTTTCAGAGTACCCTTTCAAGCTGTTCAGGTTCATGTGCTCACACGAAATCTGTTGAAATCAAAGGATATTTCTTTTTAAGACAAGACTTTTAGCTTGTTTTTAATTTGCCTTCTGGGGGAGTAGTGGAAAAAAGAAAAATATTCATTGGTTTAATGTAAGTCTTATTATCAATCTGATACATGGCTACAAAGATTTGATTATTTTTTTCCTTGTTTGTCTGTTCCGCTTGGTGAAATTTAAGGCTTACATAATTCCCCAGTGAGCAATGCAGTTTGAAAAGCAAATAATTAAGCATTAGTACTATACCCAAATTCATTTTTTTTCCATGAGGAAAAGATGTTTCAGCATTCAAATTTAATTTTTTTTTCAAACCTTGGAATGGATTCTGCATCCTGAATAATGTTAAAATCAAGACTGCAATTACAAAGTTGCAGCATCTCTGCAATGAGTACCTTACCTAGAGTGTCCTGGATCTCAGCTCCAGAATGGATTTAATCTTTACCCCAACACATGCCCTCTCCAGCAACAAAGGGATTTAAGCAAGTGCATAACTAAACAGAGGAATCATAGCATGTGTGTCCGTGCTGAGCTGGCTTGGACATCTGGAGTCTAAAGCCAGGATAAAAGCCCTGCTAAAGAAGAGATAGAGACCCTGCAGGGAGGGATACCATAAGGCAAAGCCCTTGTACAGACCGAGAAAGCAAAGACTGAAAATGCACTGGTTCATCAGGGTGTCAAAAATCACTGAGGGGTGAATTCAGCTTTGCCAGCAGCTGAGCAGCAGCCTGGAACAGCCAAATCCACGGTGACTGAGCCAGCAAAGCCATGGCCCTGTGAGTGACACCCCACAGACAAGCCCCTGCCTGCAGCACCAGCTCTGCCATCCATCCAGAATTTCAGAATTTCCAGAATTTCACCCCCAGGCCACCACTTGCACTCCACCTTCTTTCTCCAAACCCACTCTGGAAGAGGCAGGCACAGAGCTGGGGAGTGCTGCACCCTTTGCAGAGCACAGGAGCCAGAGTAGAGCAGTGGATGGAGAGCTGGTACAATTCGTATGGCTCTCACTGTAGCACTGGCAAGGAGGCAAGGGGAAGCAGAAGGAAGCACCAAAGCTGTGGCTAATTCTGCCACGGAAAGGCTGCACTGCTCTGCACCAGCATCAGCAGCCACAGCTTGTTCTTGAAGGGCTCCTCAACCCATACAGCCTGGCCATCAGTCAGGGCTCGCAGGGCACAGGTTGCTACCAGAGAAGAAAGAGAAGATTTTTGCAGAGAAGAAAGCAAAGATGAGAAGAGCTGCAGGAACTCAGCCGGGCCATCAGGATGAAAAGTTGTTCTTTGGGCCCAGTACCAGCCCTGGCTGCAGGAATGGGAGCTGGCACTGTTAAAAAGGCAACAACTAAAATGGTGGAAAGGACAAAACCAGGTTAAATATCAGTCCTAAACAGAGTGTTCTCATCTTGCTCCTTTCCTTCTTCTACAGCAGACTGCAGAGGCTCAGTTCTCATTCCTAGCCAAACTAAAAAGCACTGCTCTGCTCTCACCTGGAACCACAGAAATGAAACAATTTTACACAGATGTGAGAGCAAAATCTGGAACCCAGCCTTTAATGTGGCACTCTTCACCACATACTTTATAACAAGTAAATAAAATTCTCATTCTTTAAGAAGTGTATGCTCTGAAAGATCTTTACCTGGAGCTTTACATTCTAAGAGCTGCACACTGCATCATCACCTCCCTGCTCCTCCTTGGCTCATAATTCCCATGGAAAAGTCACAAAAGCAAATAGAGCATCTCTTCATGCTGTTCCCAGGATTCACAAAGTTTTAAGCAATGATTTGCTCTGCACCCCACTTCCCATTTCCCTTCAGTCACATAACAATCAAGGAATAAATGGCACTGCAATAATAAGCACTAATTTAAGACACAGAAGAATAATGTACTCTCTGCAGAAAACTAAGATTCTGCAACGCTGCCACTTAATTGACTCATGGCATTATGAGCAATTACAACAGAGTCTGAGGCAATTTTAACAGCACTTGCTACTGAATAGCTCTTGCTACTGAATAGCTCTTGCTATTAAAAATAAAAAAACAAAAACCAAACAACAACACCACCAACATTTTTTTAAAAAACCAAACAGAAATCAAACCCTGAACCTGCCTTTAGCACCATCATCAGTCTGTTGCATGATTTATTGATGCACTGAGCTCGCATCCTCTTCTGGACTTCTGCTCACTGCTATTGTACAAATAGCAGCACAAGAAAAAGGCTTCTCCTGATCATAAAATACCAGCACGGAAAATACTTTTTCTGGCCACACCTTGACCCTGCTGACATGGCACCTTCCTGCTCCAGCAGTTTGAGCCTTTCTACACTAATGGCATGGGGCTGAACTTTGGCACAGCAATTAGTAGACACTTGCTCAGCAAACAAGGAAAGTGACATCCCATGCCTGTCTACATAAGCAGGATGCCATTTTCAGAAGTGCTCATACCAGTCATGGTGTTATTCCATCAGTTACTCATCTTGTAACATCTGCCAGGTCAGGAACAGGGATTCCTCCCGTTTTTTGTTTTCACTTATGCTTATTCCCCCAACCAGTATCAGTTACTCTGGGAATGAAGCTTCTCGCTGAGTGTGTCAAAAGCAATAAACCCTCTGTTAATTGATGTCCTTGTAGGCTTTGACCCCACTAGTGGAGTTTAGCAGCATCTGCCACTGTTTATTAAGTTGCTGAGATGAAGGATGTTTTCAAACTTAGTACGTCTGCCACAGTGTAAACTTCTGCACAACAGAATGAGCAGTTCTACACACATCTCTTGGTGTCCCACAAGCATGATCTCGCCTCGTGCCCTCTCAGTGCTGGCATGAGTGGCAACAGAGATGTCATTTTATTGAGAATTTAGCCAATTCTCCACAAGCTGGAGAATACATGAACACCCTATCTTCTTTTTTAGAGGTTTTTCAAATTATCTCAGCCTCAAAAGCGCTGCATTAGCAAAGAATTTCATACGTGAATGACATTTCAGTGATGCTGGCACCTGGGGCGTTTTGCTGTTCTTCAGAGTAAGTAATGATGCTGTCAGCTCTCTATTCAAGGGTCAATTGCTGATAGACCGGGTACCAAGAGCATCTGCCCTGTTGGAATTGTGAGCATCCAGCACCTTTTCCATTTTTTTCTGACAGGAAATTCATACACAGATGCTGTTGTGCATAAGTGATGGCTCTGTTAAAACATGATGGCCCATGAATTTCCATGTATGCGGAAGGATGGAAGTATCCATCAGCACAATCTGGATTTGGAAATCCCCTATTTTAAAAAGCACATACACCCACCAATTTCCATGGCTGTTGTTTTGTCCTGAAGATATCAATATTCTATTAGCATCTTTGAAACAACTTGTCCAACTTAGGGTCTGATGCCTTGTTCTCTTTTTACTGGGAACCTCAACTGCTTTCTTTTGGAGTAAAATGAGCCTGCTTATCATACTATTATTGAGAGATGGAGAGGTTGAATATACTCCCTTGATACAGAGTGCTCTGTATTTTTCCATCTGAGAAGGAGAGAGGGGAAAGAGAGAGAGAGAGAAACACCACATCTAGAATTTCAGTCATACCATACTCCTGTCAGGACACAAACCCATTTGGAAATAAATAACATGGAAATAATGCATTCTTTCAAACCTGTGTTTTGACCTTTATATTCATGTTGACCATCAGTGCTAAGTTAAGCAACTTTAGAAATAAATCAGTTTCAGAAAGGTTTGGTGCGAGGTTAATTCCTTAGATAGGAGGGGAAAATCTGCACCAGGCAAAGTGTTTTCTAAATGGAGACTGAAACAAAAAACCTACCTGAGAAGTGCTAATGTACTTTAGGAATCTTGAGGCCTCATAGTTGAGGGAAGGGGTTGGACTTGCCCATGGTTGTAGTTCAATGTGCCACCTTACAGTCTGTAAAACAAAGCAAAACAAAAAACACCTTAAAGGCAATGCAAGCATAAATTACATGGGCTAATAAGCTAAGGAGATTTAATTTCAAACTAAAATCGCTTCCTGGGGGCTTGTCTACACATGAAAAACATTTCAGAACAAAGCAGGGTTTCAACTACAGTGAAAAAGCATCTAACCATGATTCAAAATTATCAGCTTTGAAAGCAGATGCAGGTAACTCAGGAAGAAAGTGCTCCTCATCCAGGATACATGTATTAACCCAATCATTCTAGATTTTATTGAGAAAACAAGTTCCTTGAGGACTTTGAGAAAAGCCCTCTTCCTCTCCCATGCTTGCCTGACAGATATGCCAGAATTCTTTGTTCCCCTGGAAAAATGAAAGTGTGGCTGCCTGTAGCCCTACCACTCCTCATTTACACAGCCCCAAGGAAGTAGCTTTGGTGGGTGCTTTCTGCACTCCCTCAGCTCTGAATTTCAGGGATCCTGTCAGCTTTTCCAGAAACACTTCCCACGTAGAGTGGGACAGAGAAGGCCTTTCAGACACGTGCTTGCAGAGCAACAGGGCTCTGTGCTCCCATCTGCACCTCCTTCTCCAAATTCTGCCCACTGTCATGCTGGGAAGTTTAGACTTGTTGTCTCTTGCCCTCAAGTAGATAAAAATACAAGCACGGTGTTAAGTTGTACTAAATCAAGATTGATTCCTCGTGGCCTTTCATCTCCAGGCACCATAACTCACTTCTACGCTTGGGCAGCTACTATCAAGCTTCCCTTTAATCATCCTCAATTAACTGAGCTTCCATAATGGACAGGATGGGGTTTCTCCCTCAAAGGCTCATGCTGGCATTCAATAAACTACAATCAGAAGCCCCACTCGGGATCCCCACAGGACTGTATTTCAGATGGAGCCCTGGAAAAAGGGGCAGGAGAGAGCAATCAGCTGGAGAGGATGGAGGCAGACAGGTGAGCTCCCAGACAGGGCTGGTCTGTGGCACCACAGAACAGCCAGCACAGTGACAGCAGGGATCCTCTGATGCCAGAGAGGAATGCAGGAAAGAGAAGGTAAAATTAGAAAAGATTATTAGAGAGGGCCACCAGACCAGATGGTGTTTGCCTTGAGCTGGTATCATGAATTGGTATTTTTGCAGCCTAAGTAAACATAGTCTACAGTGAATGTAAGCCAGGGGGTCTGCATGAGGTTTGTTATTCTTTTAGGGGTTATTTTTCAGATTTGTTATGGATTTTGGGTCGTTTGGGGTTTTGGGGGGGGGGGGGTTGGTTTTTGCTTTTTTTTTTTTAAGAGATGCTGAAAAGAACATTGAGATTTTTTTTTTCTACCCCAAAAGCAGACAAAAGTAGCATTTCTCACCCTGAAACTTCCTGCCTGCAGCAAACTTGGACTCCTACACTCTGCACAGCATGAGCCTGGAAGCAAGCTAGCAAGCTAGCTCTGCAGCTGCATGTCCCCTTGACCTCTGCTTGCAGCAGGCAGCCTGCAAACAGCGAACAGCAGGAGGATAGGTGCACACCAGGGAGGGAAATTCGTGTAATCTTTCAGAATGAGTCACAGTTCACACGGCTGAATAACGTTTGCAATGACAGGAATGCTGCTGTTTCAACAGGCTTGAAAGCTGAAATGAAAATGAAGACTGACAACCGTTTTCAGAGGAAAAAAAAAAAAAATCAACCAGCTAAACAAAAAACCAAACAAACAAAAAAAAAAACCAACCCAAACCAAATAAAACCACCAACCACCCAGATACCTACATATCTATGCCCAGTTATTTTGAAATCTATTTGTGTGAGAAGTAGCTGAAGTAGCTCATTAAGGACAGGAATTGCAGGGTGACCATTGTGTACTATTCAGCAAGAATTCCTTCTGCATAGAGTTGACAGGGAAGAAAAAAAAATCTCTATAATGAACCACATGAATGAGATTCTTTTTCAGCAGAGTGCAATGTCCAAGGGCCACTGCAGCTTACACTCAGATTCTTAAAATCTTCAAGATGATAAACTGCCTTCCCACTGTCTGCAAACTATTGATAAACACATGGAAATGAAATAAAAACCCCAGTGACTTACTAATGCAGTTTCACTAAAAAATAGTGGGGGGATGGAGTGGGGGGGAAGGGGGAAAGGCAAAAGAACAGAAAGACATGAAGCTTTTGTATAGTTCTTTAAATTTCAGAGCAGTGCATAAATGCTACTTTTGTGACAGGGATCCGACCCGAGGCTCCTGTTTGACAGCAATGCTTCTTAAACTTCAGACTTGGTGCCTGGCTCCTTGGGAAGCAGCAGCCTATTTCCATTCACAAACGAACACACGGGAGAGTCCTGCTCCCAACACCTCCTGACACCCCTACAGGGTGCCTCAAGAGCTGCCTCACAATAAGATTCACAGACAATGGATGGGGGTGAAAATCCAACACATCTCTGGGGCTGGGTGCACCCCCACCCCAAGGGTATCTCACAAATGTTGGTGATGCATTTTGGGCATGCTCAGGAATACAAAATATCCTCCTGAAGCAGCTGTTCCATAGGTACATTCATAGCCTTTGTTTATAGCTTTCCAGGTAATTTTCAGCCTGGTTCATAGCGTTTCCATGTAAGCCTCCTCAAATAAACTCTACAGATGCTTTGTGAAAATCAGGTATATCCCCAATAAGAAATAATCCTTATTTGAGGAATTTTCCCCTCTCTTGACTGTGCAATTTTGTTTACTCAGAGCGAACCGGTGTAGGGCATCATGATTTGGGTTTTCCCACCACTATCATGGAAATCCCCAGATTGACTGAGGACAGGTCCCTGTGGCTGCTGAACAAACAGGCTGAGATGCAGCTCCTTTCACAGAGGGCTTTACAGCAAGAGGAGCAGACGAGCTATTACAGCCCAGCTTGTACAGCTCTGGATATGAAATTCAGACAGGCTACCCAGGAGGAGCCAGAAAATGGGTGCAGACAGTCTGCATTTTTGCCCATCACCATGGCTGTGTTCTCTTCCTAGGACAAGGATTCATCCAACCAGACACCATGACTGCGTTTCCCAAACATCAACATACCCATATTCCACAACATAAAGAGGTGACAGTAAAGACATGACAGTAAACTTTCCAGTACCTGGAAAGTTACAATGGCACTTAAAAAACTATCATACTGAGTATCTTAAAGTATCCCTCTGTACATAGCTTCACTTATGGACACATCAATTGAAATTAGCACTGTAAGAAAAATCAAGCTTCAACACTGACTTCAGCTACCCCTGAAGGTAATGGATATCCAGAAACTGTTATTCAGAGTGGTGTCTAAATTTTCACCACGTGAGATAACCATAGAGAAAATAATATCTTAAAGCAATGCCACAGCTTTGTTGGGAAAACTAGGATGCATTTGAAGGTCTGATTTTTCTTCCAGGTACTTCACACTTAAGGATAAGGACTGATGTTTCCTTCAGACCAATCTCACAATAATCTGCAGAGACTTCTTTCTGGAGACCACTTTTTCCTAAATTTTTTTCCCCCTCATAGCCATCTGTGATAGTCATTTGATAGTCCCTTAATAACCTGTAGTATATATGTGATATACTTTTAAACTGTCATTTAAATCTGTCCTAAAAATCTGAACTCATAATATGGAATTAATTTAAGTCAAAATGTGCAAAGGGCTCACAAACCAGCAGGTCTAGGATTGTAGGTCTGCCAAATGTTTGGCTTTTCCAGCCTAAACTTACGCACAAATAATTAAATTCTTTCCAGACCAATTCTAGTTTTAGTGCACTAATTCAAAAAGCCCAACCCCTTCCTTCCCTTCTGCTTACATTTGAAAGGGAATTAGTAAGTTTTTCATATTTCCATCTTTTTTAACTCAGCAGCTGTTTCTCCTCCTTTTTAATCTCCTTCCTTTTTAGCAGCCAATTAAAATACAGAAACATATTAGCCATTTTTGTAAACAAAAATTCGGGTATCCCATTGCCCTGCCAAGCCGTCTGTTGCTTATAAAGAAGAAACAAAAGACTTGTCAATATATACACGGATGCCTTAAGTAAATCCTCCAATTAAATCGTGCAACAATTTAATTTTTTACATCTGAGGCAGGACCAAATGCAAGTGGAAATCATTTGTGGCAATAAATTCCATCAAGAACTGTAAATATTTGCCAGCCATAGAAACAAATGACATGCACATCTTCATCTCCAATTACTCTGCCTGTGTACTTCAGCAGAACAGAACCTGCTCATGGGTGAAATTTTGCAGGGATTTTATCAGTTTGAAACGCAATGCATGGGATTCAGATTCAGGCTGCAAAACTTCAGACATCTACATGGCAAATTTATTAGATTGCTTCCTTGAAGGCTGTTGTCCTCTTATGGTAAATCTTCCATACCTTCTGGGTGATTTCTCATGGGCAACTCCTCACAGCACTGATTCCTTATCAACATAGCCAACAAACTCCATCTTGCTTCGCAGCACAGGCAACAAACTCCAAGTCTCTTCTCCACCAGCTAACTCACTCTTTTGTAGCACTCTTCTTCTTACTGGACACAGCTGTGGCCTATTAAGGGGAGGCCTGTTCCTAATTTTTGGTGATTGGTACAGCTGCAACTCCTCAGGTGTGAGCCTATATTTCTGCACTATATTTTCTTACCTTCTATCCCTCCACAGAAGGCTTGGCCTTGTGAGAACGGATTGCCCCCAGATACAATTTACAGAGCTCGGACATAATTTTATTTGTGGTCCCTCCCAAGCACCTGTGGCCTTAAGCATATTAGTTTATTGTGGTGATACTGTTTGAGGTTTTTCCCTCAATTCCAAAGCACCCTGAATAGTGAAAGCTGCGTGCTGCAGCCCACACGAGCCCTGGCTTTGCAGGACACGCCAACGCCCCACCAGGGACACGTGACCAGCGTGAGGCCTGCTAAGGGCAGTGGGAGGGCTCTGAGGGTGGAGGCAGCCAAACCTGGCCCACTGCTCCTCTTGCTGACAGCACAGAGCATCTTCAGCAGCAGAG